ATTTTCTGAGTTTAATAACAAAACAGTATAATAGTCACAGTCTTGGACATCAGATAAGTATCATAAAAGTAGAGAGAATCTCAAGCATCAGGTAAAAGAGAATTGAAAATCCAGACATGGATGTTTCCCTCAAATACTTTCTATAATAATGCAAGGAATAAATAAGTGAATAAAAACAAATTGGTTTGCTAGGTCCTTGTCATAATATAAGAACAACTTCTTAGGATAAATTCTTCAAAGATGACTTAGCATTACTGTTTTCATGCTTTATTATTAATAGTATTGCAATGAACCTGTTTACTGCTATTTATCAATGTGTTCAGCATTCTAGCTTCATTATAGATTATATATTTTGAATCAAATGATAATTTTTGACATTGGAGATTAAAAAGAATTTTGGGAGGCTTCCAAATGAATAATTTAAAGCTCAACCTTTGGAATATAACTCACGTGTAGTTGAGGACTTAGCTGTTAAATTTGTAGATTTTTTCCCCCCACGTCACTGTATAGGTGCTATGAAATGACATACAATCTATTTGTTTTCTAAACAGATAATAATTTGGAAAAGGAGATATTTTCAACAACCTTGGAATATTTTGGAGTTTTTAATTATGGTTGTTGGAATCGTTGATGTCTTTTGTATATACTTTGTGAGATTGAGACCAGAAAACTTGGGTCTTATTGAGTTTACAGTAATACTAGGATATTTGAGAATAATTAGATTTGTTCCTATGTTAAAGGTAAGACTTCACATTTTTAAATATTAGGGTTTTTTCCCTACATTGTTTGTTAAATGAGTTAAGAAACCTCATTATTTTGAAAGAAATGAGGGAAGGAGCTGTCTCTTTTTCTGGACTAGAAATTGGATAGCACTCTCCCAATAGGTATCCACTTGGTTCATTCCGTCACCTTCTTCATGTCATGGCTCAAATCTCACATTGTCACAGTAGCCTTCCCTGACCACGCTGTGTAAAATGGCAACGCCCTCCACACCCCCAGATTTCCACCCCATCCTCCTGATCCCCCTCCACCTCCTTAACTTCTATTTTTCTCCCCAAAGCGCTTATCACCCGTTTACTGTATGTTGTACGTACTCTCCATGAGGTAGGGGTCTTTGTTTTGGTCACTGATGCAACCTATCGCTCTAGAAGCGTGCCTGGCATAAGTAAGTGCTTCATAAATATTTGCTGAGTGAAAGAATGAAAATCTTGGTGCCACTAGAAGCAGGGTCACCCAAAAACAAGTTCTCTGCGTTTCAACTTGTTCATATCACCTGAACTGTGCAGAGACAAAAATATTTTCTCCATGACCGCACAGTCACACAGCGGGCTGCCTATGGAATTGGACTTTACCATGGCCTTCAATCTCCTTAGCAATTACTACTCCTTCTTTGCATGGCTCTGGTTTGGATTCTGAAGAGAGATTTTTAAATTTTCAGTCTCAACTCTTACACCTACTTTCTTTCTTTCCAATGGAGTTGCATTATGTAAGTTTCTAACTTGGGAACTTTATACGGTTTCACTTGCCAATCTGTTTTTTTTGTTGTTGTTTAATTCTTATTACATCAAACAAGCCTATTAGTATGTATTGAATTTATGGAGGCTTAACATTTTTAAAAAATTGCTGTAAACCTTGATGGCAAAATGTA